TTTGTGCCAGGAAGCATACTTCCTCCTTTTTTGCTAGTATATACCATGTTGCGATCACCACAGTGCGGCAGTAGAGCACTTATAAACTGTTTGCTTTCCACAACGAAAGCAGGAAAGGAACATGTTGCGAACTGCCAGGAAAAACTGGTAAAACTTGTGTGGGACGATGACGTGGAGACAGGTGTGCAGACAGGAGACGCATGCAAAGTTAAAGGCTGTCCAAAGAAGATGGTAGACTTGTGATAAACTCTGCATACTAGAAGATTCAGTCTTCATTTTTACTATTTTCTCATAGAACATATTAATAAGAAAGCCCAAGGATTTTGAGCTTACATGGTGTTGTTATTATTTTGAGTTAAATGTGATGATGATAGGAGTGAGAGAGAACTAAAGGCGAGCGTCTTCCAAAGCGGTCTTTTCACGTTTGTTCTTTCCTTCATCAGGAATTGAAGCGACTGATCTGACCAGCTTGTTGGAGCAGTTTGAGGAAACACAAGGTGAATTTTGACAGATTACTAGCAGCGGTGTACTAATGGAGGCTCGCGCCCTGTGATACATAACCTCTTTTTATTTTTCCTCCTCCAGCTAAAGAAGAGAGAGTTTGTGAGAACGAGCCCGCGCTTGTTCGTGCTGCTTCATTAACGGCGATGTCCTCTGTGGGACCACTTGAATCTTTAAGCACTGCAGAAAGTCAAAAACGCCAAGTGTTGGAGGCTGTGGATATCCCTGAGCCCCTCAGCACTGAAATCATTCTGAGCACTAAGCAGCCTGCAAGACGGAAAAATCCTCCATCCAAGGCTATTCAGATAATTGACCCCCGTCCTCTGCCGTCTAGGAAGACTCACACAACTCAGTTAGAGTCAGCTGCAGCTCTTGCTTCTTCTCACATGTTTGCGCACGTATCTGCCGATCACGATTACTGCGGCTCTGTAGATCATTCTCCTGTAAATGCTTCTCAGCGTAGCAGAGCTAAGCCTCCTTTACTCAAGGATGCTTCTCAAACCACAAATGAGCACCATGTGATGACCCAGGGCTCGCAAGCTGCAGGTGAAGAGAAGAACCAGATTACAACTGTTAAAACACAGTCTGTGCTGCAGCATCAGTTCAATCAGCCCAAGGCCAGATCAGAGACCACAGACAGAGCTCTGCAGTTTGCAGACTGTGCTGCCAAAGAAGATCGTGGGAGGAGTGAAGACAAGACCGCTCCATGCACCTTCCCGACACCTCCACCCAGCCCTCCTGTCAGAGGCAGAGAGAAGAGGAGATACAGGAGAAGATCACCACGGTCCGACTCAAGCTCCAGCTCCCGGTCCTCCTCCTCTTCTTCCTCATCCAGCTCTGCATCTCGCTCTCCAAAAAGATTAAGGTACTCATCTTCTATCATTCCCGTTCAGCCTGAGCTTTTGCCTTTTGTGGCTACAATATGTTGATCTTGCAGGCTCCATCGCAAGCGTTCAGAGAGCAGCTCGTGTTCATCGTCCCCCTCTTGCTCCGTGTCCCGATCCCCTCCTCGGCGGTACAGGTCAGGGTGCTGCACACCAAGATACAGCAGATCACGGTCCAGATCTTGGTCCCGGTCCACATCCCGGTCCCGGTCGCCATCTCCACAAATATGCCGTAAGCGGTGGAGAGACTTTTGCAGGTCAGTGAAT